AATTCACTTATCTTGGAACTCGGGGGGACCAGTAACCGAGAGGCTCGCTCACACCCACTGAAGATGACAAATCGTCTGTTTGTCACACCAGAGGCAGATTTCTCAGGCTTTCCCGGTCACCCCCCACTGAAGTACCCCGATGCATGGGAAAGTCTCCGATGTCCAACCTGAGCTCTCTCGCTGCTACCCAGCCCACCGAGTGCATTTTCAGTCAGCGATTTTCAAGGGGGAGAAAACATTTATCCACGTAATCCCTCCTAAAACGGAAAACTGCTTTGAAATTGATTTCCATCCCAATCCCCCTCCCCTTTTTTTTAAAGAGTGATTGATTGATTTAGCAAGCACGAGTTGGGGGAGGGGCAGAGGGAGAGAGAGAATCTCAAGTAGACCCCACATTGAGCCTGGAACCTGACCCGGGGCTCGATCTCACGAACCTCAGTTCACGACCTGAGCTGAAACCAAGAGTCGGACACTTAACCGACTGAGCCCCCCAGGAGCCCCAACAGTATGCAGTCTACAATTAAAAACTGCTTTGAAGCTGATTTCCATCCCAATCCCTTTTTACCTAAATGTTCCTGACGTGCTTCCCTCCTACCTGAAGGAGCCCGACACTATAGGAAAGGCTCCGAAGCCATGGGGGAGGCACCCCCTCTACTGAAGCAGCCGCGAGACAGAGTGGCCCCCATAGAAATTCACTAAGCCTTCCTCACATCCCAGCCAACTGAGCACGGCATTCTAGAAGGGCTCAGGAAACACTTGCTGGTCCAACCAAAGAAAGTCGGAACCTAACCAACAGTGAAATACCAGGTCCAAAGACAGGCTAGCAGGTGCACGGGGCTTTCACCCCAGCAAACCAGAGAACTCCTGAGACACAGCAAGAAACAGCCCAGCCCGCGACGTCAGCAGAAGAGCTGCCATGCGTTCATTCATCCATGCCTGCCTGCCTGCATTTGTTCCACGGTGTTTTCTGAGCATCAAGCCCGAGGACAGGGGGCGTGGCCTGCGGCCCAGCCTGTCCCCCGCCTGGGGCAGCACCCCAGCTGCTGGGGGAGACAGACAGATGATTAGCCCATCCTGGAGGCTAGCGGGACAGAAGGTGGGTGGAGGTGGAGGTAAGACACAGAGGATCAGTCTGTCCACTTTGGCCGAGAGAGATGCTCCCATGGCCAGAGTGGGGCGCACAGGACTCGCTCCAGCCCTGGCCGGCCACCTGGGGCGATGCGTCCCGCTGGGGCACCGCACGGCCTGGGCAGCCCGGAGGCCCCCTAAAGATTTGCAAGATATATTTGGTGATGAGATAACACCGTCATGTGATTCCTGAATCAGTACAGTGGGAAAAGGCCTTCCCATCATCCCTGCCCAAGTACCTCTTTCCCTGGTGTCTCATGTATCCTTCTAGAGCTTCCTCATCCAACGTCGCCCTCCCCCCTTTCATAAAGGTAGTGCGTTCGCCACTGGCTCAGACCTTGAAAACACGTGCATTGTTTTCTCAATGCTCCTGATTCCGCAGACTCACAACACCCATTGCTGCCTACGTTGCAGTTTGTTGGTAAAAGGGAAGAACGGGTCAAGGCCCTGAAGGGATGTGATTAGACAGCAGAGGCCTGTCTACAGCCCCTGGGCCGGTGAGGGAAGCACAGTCAAGCTCTCCAGTGTCCCTCTGAGCTGCTGCCTAGTGACGGTCACACACACGGGGACAAGAATATGTCCCCACACGGCCTGCCAGCCGGAAGCAGGGAGCAGGGCAAACATTTTTTATTCTTTTTCTCTTTTAAGATTTATTTATTTTGGGGGGGCAGAGGAAGAAGAGGAGGGAGAGCGAATCTCAAGCAGGCTCCATGGCCAGCCCGGGGCTCGATCTCACGACCCCGAGATCACCACCTGAGCTGAGACCAAGAGTCGGATACTTAACCGACTGAGCCCCCCCCAGGCGCCCCCAATTTTTAATCCTTTAACTATGGATTTAAAAAGGTGGGGCCTGCATGTTGCCAGCCATGATCTAAAGTAAAAGGAAGAAAATCAAGTGAGAACCAGCCTCAGCTCCACTCCCCCAAGGTAATGACTGGGAACATTCAGGGCCGAGATTCGTGCCCCATTTTACGGGAGAGCAACATGGAGGCAGCAGGCAAGGCAGTTCTGGGGGTCCTGAGAGAAGCCAACTGTGACGTGGGGATTGAGGCCCCCCGTTCTAGGCCCGGCGCCCCAAGAATCCTGGTGGGCTGGGGGCGGCAGCGGGGACCTGGTTACCCCCTTCCTTACTCTCTCTCCCTCTGCCCTCTGTTTGTCACATGTCTTGTGTCCACATCTGTCCTGGGCCTCTGTGTGGCTCTGAGCAAGGACAGTCTTGCTGACCAGGGGGCTCCCAGGCCTCACAGGCACTTGGCAGAGGGGGCGTTCGGCACAGACTCCTCAGAGAGGCCGCGCTAGCCTCAAACACCAGCTCTTACTCCTGGAAGGCTTGCAGGGGACGCTCAAGTGCCTTCTAGGCAGCTCAGGCCACAAGCTCTCAACCTGGCCAGGGCCTGACACTCGGGGGGCCCCCTTGACCTCGCGGGGAGTCCCCAGCCCCTGGCTGTGACTGCCTGGAGCTCAGGCTCCAGCCCCGGGACCCCTCAGCCCGCAGTGAGAAGGTGGGCAGCCCGAGGGCTGGGGAGAGCGGAGCAGAACTGTTCCCCAAGGCCTGAGCCTCTCACCCCCCTCTCCCCGGGGGACCGTGGCCACAGCCACCTTCAGTCAAGTCCAGGCTGACCGTGCGGGGCGGAAGCTCAGAAGCAAAGGGCAGGGGTCCTTAGCGGGTGAGGATTCACCTGAGCCAGGCAGACCCCAGGCACCAAGGCATAGGTCCTCAGGAAATGTACGTTGGTGGATTTAGGCCTGGGAGGGGGTGGCCTTGTGGGGGCGAGGGAGAGAAGATGAGGGGACAGTCTCCAGTCCCCAAGGACCGCTCGCCAGCAGCCACGGTGCCGAGAGAACAGGATTCAGTAGCAGGGACGGACCTGAGTCCTGGTACTAACCTGGGGAAACTTCCTTCGCTTTCTTAAAGCATTAGTGTGATTTACGGTCCTTAAAATTCGCCCCCTTAAACGTACAGTTCGGTGACCACGTATGTGCACAGTGGTGCAACCATCGCCTCTTCAATCGCCTTGCGGCTCCCAGCAGAAAGCCTGTTTTCCTCCCATTCCCACCCAGCCCTGGGCAGCCACGATCTGGCGCTGCAGACCGCACAGTTCCTGGCCATTTCCGATCCACGGAATCATAAAGAATGTGCAGCCAACAGCGACTGGGTTTTCACTTCCGGTGATGTTTCTGGGCGCCTTCATGGTGTAGTGAGACCAGCGCTCCCTTTTTATCGCCGAACGCTATTCCGCTGAGTGGATATGACGCTGGTGGGTGTCCGCTCACCAGTTGGCAGATGTTTGGGTGGTTTCCTCTTCTTGCCTCTTCGGAATAATGCTGCCCTGAATATTCACGCCCAAGCGTTTGTGTGGACAAGTGCTGTGTCCCTTGGGTGGGTACCTGAATAGCATTGCTTATATGGTGACTCTCTAACTTTCCGAGCGGCCAGACTGTTGGCCAGAGTGGCCGCCCCATTTTACAGGAGGGCTGTGATTCCTGCACATCCTTGTCAACGTCGCTTTCTGGTAAACCCCGGCACCACCAAAACCAGTCGCATGAGTGGCTGTGCTGTGGCACCACCCTGGGCTTTGACATTTCCCCAGTCAGCGACGACGTAAACAGCTCCTCACAGGCCCATTTGCCATGTTACCTTCTTTGGTGAAATGTCTCTTCGAATCTTTGGGGGGCAGCTTATTTAACCTCCTCGAGCTTCGCCTTATTCTACCCAGTTCTTACACCCTAAGACTTCCTATAAAGAGCATGCAGAGCCTGCCACCTAACGGGGGCTTTACAATAGCTTTGCAGAGGGTTGAACTTGGCGCTTGTCACTGTGGCCCCACAGGAACGAGCCTCGCCCACGGCTCTCAGGTTGGAGTTGGAGCTGGGCTGCTGTCCTCACCGAGGACCCCCTCCCGCAGCTGGGGGTGAAGGATGAGCACCACGGGCTTGAGGGGTCCACCGTGTTCCACATGTTCTGCTGAGCCGTTCCACAAGGTCTCACTGCAAACCCACCAGAATCTTCTGATGGAGCAGGACCTCCTATTTAGAGGGGATGAAATCTGGAGACCGGATTCAATAGCTTCTCCAAGGTCCCCTAGCTGAAAGTGGCAGAAACTAGTGTACTTGTCTTGATGAGCACAGGGCAACGCCTGGAAGTTTGAATTACTGTATCGTATGCCTTAACTAACTGGAATTAAAATTTAAAAAAACAAATCTACCCGCAAATTGTGGGGGAAAAAGTGGCGGAAACTCAGATTTGAACCCAAAGAGGATGCCGAGGCCAATGCCACAGGCGGCGAGCTCCTGGGGACGAGCGGGAGGCTCTATCCCACTGTGTGCACAGCAGGCCCACCCACGGCCCCACCCATGAGCCCAGCTAAAGGAGCTAAGCTGCTTGTCCCCTCCCGGCCTCAGCATCTTCTGTCAAGTAAGGGAAAAAGTAGCTCCTGCCTCAGAGGGCAGTCCGCCTGGGTCCAAAGCCTGGCAGGTGCACGGCCGACTACAAAGCAGGCGGCTTCCTCCTCTGTGTCTGGGCAGCCGCCCTCCCCCTGGCTTGGCTCTCCTCGGCCATGAGCTCCGGCCCATCCTAGAACCATCTCCTGACCCTGACCCTGGGGGTCAGGCTGGAGCAGGGCGTCTGTATGGCTCTCAGGGTCTAGCCTGTAATCCCTTCTCCTCCCTACTTCTTGCCTTCAGACGGCGCTCCCCACAGAAGCAGGGAACGCCTGGTCAGGTCCTGGAATTCTCTAGAATGAGGACTTAAGATTAAACATAAAAAAGCAGGCCGGCTCAGTCAGCAGAGTGCACGACTCTTGATCTTGGGGTCGTGAGCTCAAGCCCCGCACTGGGCACAGAGCTTACTTAAAAAAAAAAAAAAGGCAGGGTAATAAAAAATAAAACTTTATTGAAGCAGCTAAACTTAAGAGCGCTCAGTAACACTTTTCCAACAGGACGCCTATGAAGCAAGAGTTAAATAGAAGCATGACCTAATTTCCTGCTTTTCTTATTAACTGTAACAATTCTAAGTTGCTCGCCTCTTTCCCACTTACAATTCAGATAGCAAAGCCCTTGTCATGTTTCGTACCTCTCTTTGCCTTGACTTGGCGTCAAGCAGACCCTGGCTCAGGCTCCAGACGGAGGACCCCAGCTGAAGGTCTCCAGACCCTGCACCCAGCGGGGCTCAGACTGGAGTCGCAGCCTCTCTCCCGCAACAGGTGTGTGGGCCTGCCTCTGGCCGCCACCATCACCCCCTCCCCACCAGGAGCATCCTCCAACATGGACAAGACGGGACACTAGTATGGCCAGGTCTGAACAGATTCAAGGGAGTTTTATCACAAGGACCTGAAACTGCCGGACCTGCCCTCGCCCTGCTCGGTCCCCCACAGGGCTCTGGTTCTAGAAAGAAGGGCAGAGGCCACCTTAGTCCTTCTTGCCCCCAGGGCCTGGGCTTCTTGTGAGCAGCTTCCCTGGGCTGGAATGGGTCAACGTGGACACTGTGGGGGATTCCAGCTTCACTCTGTCCAGGAGGGTCTTCTTGAGGGCAGCAGGGGAGACCTTCTCTTGGGCAGCCATGGATTGCAGCTCCCTGCAGACAAAGCCCCAAAGGGGTTGAAGGAGGAGCCCGAGCTCCACACGGCTTTCCTGTGCACATAACCCCCAAGCCCGGAGGACCGGACACCACCCAAAATTAGAACCCTAAATCAAACACTCCCCCGAGCTTCTCAGAAGTGCTATTTAACCACGTGTGGGTGACCATGCACATGTGTAGCTCCGCGTGCTATCTGCGATCACACGGAAACACGGTACGGATGGAACAGTGAGCGGGTTTGGAGTCACGCGCTTGTCCAGCCCCGCCTCCACTAGGTACTAGCTGCCTGAGCTCAGGAAAACCGTCTCTGGGCCTCAACCTCCTCTTCTATAAATCCAAGCTACCCCTCCCCCCCCCACCCAACAGAACTGCAGTGACCGTTAAATGTAGAAAGGCCTGCAAACCCTCAGCGAAACAGAGTCCAAGAAACCATGCTTATGGACAGAGCGTGGGACCCTAGCACTGCTGAGGGACCACAGACGGCAGGTTCTGCGGGACGGGGCCCAGCCCGGGGGGTCACTGGGAGCAGGGGGCCCAGGCACAGAGGGGGAGCGACCCACCGCGTGCGGATGCAGGAGGCCTCCACGGCGTTGATGAGCAGGGAGCGGAAGCCCCCACTCTCCAGGAAGTGCAGGGCGTGGATGGTGGCCCCCCCGGGGGAGCAGACATTGTCCTTGAGCTGGCCTGGGTGCTGCTCTGAGTCCAGCAGCATCTTGGCAGCGCCCTGCAGAAGGCAGGAGGGATGAGAGGAGAAGACTGCTCGTGTACCTTAGGACAGGCTTCTCCACACCCACTGCCCTTTCCCAGTTGCTATCCCAGCTTCCCAACCAAGCCCCGCCCCCAGCTCATCCCCCCCCCCCCCACTCCAGGGGCTCCTATCCCACACCCCAGTCCAGAACACACAGGGCAAGTATACTGACCAGCAAGGCCTGGGCCCCCAGGCGGACCGCCAGGCGCCGAGGCAGGCCCATCTTCACCCCACCATCAGCCAACGCGTCCAGGGCCATGAATGCCTGTGGAGACACTCACTGAGTCCCAGGGCCGCAGACACGCAGGGCCATGCCCCGCAGCCTGCTTTTCCTCATGACCGCAACTAGCTCCAAAGGCTGCCCTCCTCCATCAGCTAGCTTCGCCCCGGCGTAGGCAGCACCCACAGCCCAAGCGGCCTGCCAGTCCATCCCGCTGCCCTGGGTCCCCAGGGGGTCTCACGTAGGCAGGCCCACTGCCGCTGAGCCCCGTGACGGCGTCAATCAGGTCCTCCTCCACCTCCGTGCAGAAGCCCACGCTACTCATGAGCTGCTCCAGGAGCCTGCCGTCCTCCACCAGGGCGTGGGTGCCTGTGGCGTACACCGTGGCGCCCTCCCGCACCACCACGGGTGTGTTGGTCATGCAGCGAATCACCTTGGGGGCCGGCTGGAAGGCCATCAGCTTCTGGGACAAGGAAGAGGCCCCAGTGAGTTGCCAGGGCACCATCGGCACCCCCAGGCCCCCACACAACCACCTCTTAACGGGCACCTTTTCCACAGAGCTGATGGTAACACCAGCAGCACAGGACACCACGATGTGCCTAGCCTGCACGTCGGCCCCGATCTCGTCCAGGATGAAGGGGATGATGTGCGGCTTCACAGCCAGGAACAGGACGTCACTGTGCCTCACCGTCTCCTTGTTGCTTCGGGTCAGGTTCACGCCCATCTTCTGCAGGAGGAAACTGCCCAGCTCACAATGCGAGGCAGACTCCCTGGGCCCGGGCACCCCTGCCCCCGGAGCACCCTGGAATTCCCTGCCCTGTCCCTTCGGGGTCTGCCCCTACCCCCGCCGCCGCCGGAGTCTTCCCTTGTTGCTACCGGACAAGTGAGCCAGGTGCTAGGCAGGCACACGCTTCCCCAAGGCCATCGGGCTGTGGCCGTCTCCCATCCCCACCAGGCCTCGGGCACCCGGGCACCCCTCTGCCAAGGAAGTTCCCCCGGCCGGAAAGAGGCACGGGCAGAGGGGCAGGTGAAATGGGAGCGCGGAGGGCCGGACGCTCCTGGGGGGAGGTGGGCGCGGGCTGGGCCCCCCCCCCGTGCCCCACGCCCCCCTACCCTGAGCGAAGACACGGTGGGCAGGTCCATTTCCGGGGAGCTGGCTATGATCTTGTGAGCCGACAGGATCCCTGCGGAAGACGGGGCTCGTCAGCCGGGCACCACGGCCCCCCGGCCCCCGCGCTCTCCCGGGGAGGGCAGGTCGGACCCACAACCAGGCCCCGCGCGGGCTCGCGGCCCTCGCTGCTCCACGAGCCTCGTCCCGCCCGTCAGACGCTCAGCCGTTCGGGCTCGCGGGGCGGAGGGCGTCTCCGGACCAGGCTGCGGCCCGCGCCCCCCCGCGCGCCCACCTGCCGCCGTGAAGCCCCGCGCCAGGGCACAGGCCAACTGGCCCGCGCCGATGAAGCCCACGCTCATGGCGGCGGGAACGCGTCCGGCACCACCAGGGAGCCGCCGCAGGAGACACGAGGCCGGACGGAGAGAGAGCCCAACAAGCCGCACGCCCCGGAAGCAGGACCCCGGCAGCTGCCGGCAGCTTCCGGGCCGGCTCCCGGGACCCCTCCCCACCGCCTGCTTGTCAGGAGGTTGCCGTGGGGCCTCACGGGGCCCCGCCCCGCCTCGCCAGGGTGGCCAATCCTCGGCCGGGAGCTCGAGCGGACCAATCCGTGGCCGAGAGCTCGGGAGTGGGACACCAATCCTCGGGCGGACCAAGCCTCGCCGGGAGCTCGGGCGGACCAATCGGCGGCCGGGAGCTCGTGCCGTGTGCCCGCCCCCCCCGCGCACGGGATTGGCGGTGGGAACCTCCGGCGCGGTGCGCGGCAGCCGGGGTCTCCGCCCCGCGGACCCGCCCGGGACTAGGGTCGGCCCTCGAGGCTGGTGGGGCCCGGGGCGGGGATTCCGGCCGAAGACGGCTAGTGTTGTGTGTGGTGCGGACTGTCAGCCGCCCTGCCGGGCGGGAGGCTCCGCGGATTGCAGACTGCAGGGCTGAGCCGCGGCGGCTGGAAGCCCCTGCTGCCCGCCCCCTCCCGGCCTGAGGGGTGGTGGCTCCGGTAGCAGCCGCGTTGTCCGCCGAGCCTGCACGGTTCCTAAGAATTGAGGATCGGCTCCTTTCGTGCGTTTGGGAGGATCCAGTCCTTAAGCGTGAAACAGGGGTCCGCCACCTCCATTCTGACCTGTGCGTGCTTTCCAACCAAGTTCTCCTCGCCGGCTTACCTCTTTCCTCCGGCAAACAGCCCGGGCATGAGCACTGAAACCGCCCCTCGAGCCACAGGGACCGCCCTGAGCCGGCCCTGGCAAGCCCACCCGTGACCAACCCCACCCGCACTCCCACTAACCTCTGTCCCTTTGCATTTTCCTGATGCAAACCTGCATGTATTTGCAGCACTTGGGAGACCATCTATGAGACTAGTCGGCTGTCTCCCCGGTGTCGGCCTCCCTGAAATAGACTCCTTTCCTGTTTCACCTCCTCCTCTCTCTGCCTTTGATTTGGTGAGTGGTTAGTGGCTGACCCTGGTCTGTCTGGGACCCCCGGAGCCAGGTGACTCTGCCCCGCGGCACCCCAGCTGCAGGTAGGGCCCAGCCAAGACAGGGGAAGTCTATGACTCCAGCCCACCCCCCAGCCCCCACTTGTTCTAAACGTTCCCCAGACGGTAGGTTTGAATTTCCACCAGCAGTAAAAGTAAGTAAGGGGCTTCCAGAACGGGTGTCAGGAAAGTACGGAGGGAGGGGGCGGCATCCCTGGAGGACACGCAGGAGCGGGGGAGACTGTGGGCTCCCCACGGCCTGTCTGCTGGGGATTCTGCACCCCTGCCCCGCCCCCTCCCTGCAGCACCCCCCACCCCTTTCCCTGCAAGTTTCTCCCTGCTGCAAGCTTCCTCTACCTGCTCATATCCCTGAGCAAGCCCCCACTTCCTTGGTTCCTGCACCCTTAAAGGTGCGGACCAAATGTTCTCTATTAAGCAAAATAATATTGGATAACTTTTTCTGATTAGAAAAGGAGTACATGCATATTGAGGAATATATGGGAAATCCAAAAAAAAAGTAAAGGTCAAAATAGTCTCATAATCAAACTTCCTAGTCTCTTGGAAACATTTTCGGTGGATTTCCTTACATTATTATTGTCTATGCATATATACTCTTCCCCATCCTTGGGAATAAATGATACACATAGAGTTTTGAAACTTTTACATGATATGTATAATAAGCATTTCCCAATGTCACTGAAAAGGTGTCTAAAACAAGGTATCTGTTACTACTTAGTATTTAGTATTCCATTATATGGCTGCACCACACTGACCATTCTCCCAAAGGTCAAAATTAGGTTTATTAATTCATTCCACACATGCTTACTGAGCCAGGTTCTGGGGGTCCAGCCATGAACAAAGCAAAGGTCCCTATCCTCACAAACTTACTCCGTTTTTAAAATTATTCAGGGGCACCTGGGTGGCTCAGTCGGTTAAGTGTCTGCCTTCAGCTCAGGTCGTGATCCTGTGTTCCTGGGATCGAGCCCCGCGTCCTCTCTGCTCAGCAGGGAGCCTGCTTCTTCCTCGCCTCTGCCTCTCTGTGTCTCTCGTGAATAAGTAAATAAGATCTTTTAAAAAAAATAAAATAAGAAAAAAATTTAAAAATTATACTACTGTGAGAAAATTTTTGTCTAACTCTGATTATGTTTAGTTCCGTGTGTAGTGGCTTTAAAGGCTCCCCACAGCGGCTGAGCGGCACTAGCAACTCAACACTTCAAACTAGCTGAAGAAAGGGGGACTTGTGGTACAGCCTTTGGGAAGGTGCTGGGAGCATGCCATCTGGAAGGGGCACCTGCATCAGGACGAGCTCAAGGACCAGAACTGGGGCCCAGCACTGCCACATCCTTCCTCTCTTCTCTGGTCTTTACTTGCTCCCACTTGGCCTCCTTTCTTGTAGAAGAATCTTTGGCAGGCAGCAGGGAAGGTGGGAGCTTCTGAATGCTGTCAGCTCCTCCCAGGGAGCAGGGCTCCCCATAGTCCATTTGGAAGGCTGCAGGTCCCCTTGCTTCCCCTGGTCGCTGGCTCTGGCCTGCAACACAAGATTGGCGTGGGACGGAGTGCGGTGCCTCACTCCTTCCGCACAACCACCCATCCCTGACCTGGTGGCTGTGGCGTCTCCGGCTCCGGCATCCAGGAGTAGAGGTGAGATGTGAGGAGGACTCCGGGGCCCAGGGAGGGAGGCCATGTTGGTGGCCCCCGTGCTGACTTGACCACCAGCCGGGCCAGGCCACATGAGAGAGGGCACAGCCGAGGCACGTGGCCCTCCTCACAGATCCTGGACGGGTGAGCCACTGGCCAGAAACTGGTTCTTTTTTTGTGGTACTTGGAGATCTATCTTTTTTTTTTTTTCCATCTCCAAAGTTTAAAGTTTATATGTACAAAGTTTTATTCTGTTTTTTTTTTTTTATTTTCTTAAGATTTTATTTGAGAGAGAGAGAGAGAGCATGAGAGGGGGTTGGGTCAGAGGGAGAAGCAGACTCCCTGCCGAGCAGGGAGCCCGATGCGGGACTCGATCCCGGGACTCCAGGATCATGACCTGAGCCGAAGGCAGTCGCTTAACCAACTGAGCCACCCAGGCGCCCAGTTTTATTCTGTTTTAATGATAGGAACCCCCATTTCCTTCTCCAGTAAGTAATGACTTGCTGACTCTAAAGGCCCTGCCGGGGTTCCCTTGGCAAGACGCAGGGAGGAAAGCACCCTCCTCCCCCAGCTACTTAGGGCCCCCCCCACAGGAGGGCCCCAGCCTGGTGCTGCCATCCGGCCGGGGACACACACTCTCCATGTCCGGCACCTGTGTCCTCTCCATTTTACTCCATCTGAACCGGCAGAGAAGCCCGGAAGGAAAATGGGGAAGCTCACCAAGCTTCTGGGACTGCCCACTTCCCCCCCCCCCCCCCTCCTCCCCCTCCTCTCCTGGTCAGTTAGGTCAACTGTTGCTGCCCTCCTCCCTCCTTCCTCCCCACAGTCCCGCTCCTCCCCCTCCTGCTTCCCAAAGTGGATAATGCCTCATTTCTGCCTCCACTTGTCCGATCCTTCACCCCCAGGGCCTCCGGGCCTCCTTCCTGATCTAATGAGTGGCTCATCTGTTCTAACAATGGACAGATCCAGGGAATGAGGGAGGATCCTGAGCTGCTTCCAGCTAATCCTGTGGCAAGTCCCCTTGACCCCAGTCTGTCCTGACTTAGGGACCTCTCCAGGGAGACACATTTTGCATGGGTTTTTCTTTTTCTTTCTTTCTTTCTTTTTTTTAATCACACCAGTAACCTATGCTGACTGCAGAAAAAATTTAAATTTGAGCAAATGGAAAAATGAACATTGCTTTTAATCCCACCACCTAAAGAGATCCAATGTGACTCTTTGGAATATAACTCGACACTTCTTTGTCCTGTAAGTCAGGCACATCTTTTTTAATATTCTTTTTTTTTCCTAAGATTTTATTTATGTATTTGACAGAGAGAGACACAGCGAGAGAGGGAACACAAGCAGGGGGAGCGGGAGAGGGAGAAGCAAGCTTCCCGCGGAGCAGGGAGCCCGATGCGGGGCTCAATCCCAGGATTCTGGGATCACGACCCGAGCCGAAGGCAGACGCTTAACGACTAAGCCACCCGGGCGCCCCAGTCAGGCACATCTTAAACCAGATTTAAAAAAAAAAATTATTTCTTTTTTTGTTTGAGAGAGAGAGAGCACGAGCAGGGGGAGAGGGGCAGAGTCAGAGG